AGTCACTTTTTAATTGATTCTAGATAGTTAATCAATCACGTCAATTTTTCCTATGTTGAATATCACAATTTGTAATATGAAAGCAATAAAGAACACCAATTGATCATTGGAAAAACCCCACCTGAGTAAAAACACTGGGAACTTTACCGATCAATAATCCACTATAAATCGAAATAAACTTATAGCACGATCGAGACCCATTTACCCCTTATAACTTCTGATCCCAATTCCTACAGTTTACCTTGATCCTACTGCAGGTGTGCTTCTTCAAAAAAATTCGGACTCCTGATTTATACCTTACCCATCCTGGACTGTGTGTTCCTCACGCCAGATCCCAACCCCTAGTACCTCACCTTAGTTCTCCTGAATTTGTGCTTCTGCAACAACTCCCGATCCTTGGTATCAATTTATCTTCTGTGGATTAAATGAAGAACTTCTCGTTCTTCTGGTTGGTGTTTGATCAAAATATCTTCGTTTTTTGTTCAGTGGTTTAATGTCTAAGGATATGAAAATATATGTCTCAATGATTATCTCAATTGTTGGAATGATTTAGGGTTTAAAGAAATATCTTGGCTTGGAAAGATTTTACAAATACAATGATATGGTGGTTGAATCTAGAGATCAAGGAATGATGATGTGGATCTTCATGGAACCAACTCTATGGAATAATATAATTCAACATACTTTTGGAACATTCATAGGGGTAGCATATATAGGAGAAAGTGTTTGGAATGAAAAGAGATTGAAAAACCAAGTGTTTGAAGCAAAACAGATTTTTGAACATCGAGCCGTCGTTCGAACGCCAATCCAGCGATAGAAGAGTGATAATTGAGCAATTGTCAGTATATACTTATCATAAATTTGTCTCCTAATGTCCAATTAAGGTGATTCAAATGCTTTGGAAAACTAACTCAATGTGCTACAATTCTTTTAGAAAATAGCTTTGTCCAAATTCCAATGATTTCTATGTGAAAAATGCGATGCAAGTTGCGTTTGAAAATTTGGAGCATAACGCATGCGACTCTTTGACACTCTTTAAACTTATAATTGCATTCTAATGATCATATGTGATCAGCTTGGATATCTTAAACTCTTTTAAAGATTATACTATCAACCCCAACTCTTTTGCTATAATTAGGACACAACAACTCCTATTTTGACTTTGATTACAATTTGATAAACTCCTAATACAATTTAATTAGGACATGATTTTGACGAAAGAAATTGTCAATTACAAATTTAGAAACTACCAATTATAATTTTTACTTAATGATTTCCCCCTTTGGCATTCTATACCAAAATCATATTTATTTCAAAGTCAATAAGCCCAGTCTTCAATACTTTGCCAACCTGTTTCCTGAAACACATGGAAACCACAATAACACGTAAATAGTAAGCGAAAACTATCAAAACCAAAATCATATAACTAAGTTAAATAAAACACATAATAAAATATTTGTAACATCGAAGCATGCAATATCATATTATACTTAATCTTTTTCATCGTACTTAATCTCCAATGCCTCCAAATCAGTGATTATTTCTTTAAAAACAGTTAGGTGATCTTTTTATAGATCTGCCTGTTGTTATGCAATGAGAATACAAATGCTCCAACTTCAACCATAATACAGCTACAGATTTCTTCTTCAAGACATTTTGAAGAATATGATTCAAAAGATGAAGATGAATTTGTGGAAAGGCCTTTCAATCTTTACATTATTTCTCTTCTAATGACCAATGTGAGGGCATCTTGTTAGATTCCAATGAAGCATCATCCAAATCTACATGAGCAAACACTACTCGCCACAACGAGAATCTTGTGTTGCGATCTAGAATCTAAATATTATACTTTAGGGTTGTCATCCCAAAAAGAAATCAAAAACTCGCAAAAAACAGCGAACTTGGTTATGATACCAACTTGTTGACAAATCTAACCAATTGTTATGCACGCTAAAACCACGTGTTAGAGAATAACAAGATTATATGGTAATTTATAAAATGGCGATCACAACACACAGAAAGGGGGGATGTAGAATTTATTAATAATGGAAAAAGAATACAAAGAATATTATGTTTACAATATTATCAAACTTTTGTAATGTGCTAACTTGTAAAGAAGAGCCAACTATAAACAGAAAACATAAGAAAATCCTAACAATATTCTTAAAGATGAAAATAGTATCAAAAAACGAATAAAATAAAAGAAAAAGAACTTTCTCAAAAATCCGACCGAATCTAGGTCAAACTTTAACATGAAATACAAAACATAAATAAAAATAAAAACTACAGAAAAATTTCAGTAAATTAATGCAGTTATTTGTGTGATTGATCACACAAGTACTAAGATCTTCCAATAGACTTCTTTCATTTCCAAATTTGCTTGCGACAATTCGTAGCATTAGTGTAAGTTTGTTGATCATGTAAGGACGATACATCATGATGATAAATTCCACAATAATAAGCAATAAAGATTAATCCTTTTATTTTAATCGCAAGTAGAATGAAACTTTGATTTTCCTTTTTCAAGATTGGCACCCATGCATCCAATGAACTCGATTGCAATAAAAGAACAAAGTCTTTTCTTCCTTATATATATTTCCCTTTCTTTCCATTTTTTTTAATTTCCTTTTTAGGGTTATTTTGTGTATTAATGCTTTCTCAGAATACTCATATTTTGTAGGGAATTAAAATTTTGAGATTTTCTCCTTAATCATGGAATTCTTTTTCGTGCCCTTGTTTTCTTTAACGAGACGTTTTGTTTGTTCACTTGCAGCCGGATTGTCTACGTGAAGTTTTCCTATGCTCAAATCAATTTAGTAAGTGAAATTACGTTCTTATGTCTGAGGAATTTGAGTAGTTAATTTCGACATGACAAGTTAAATGCCTTGGTTGTAGTAACTCCCTAGGGGAATCCTGAATATCAGCAACATGACTGGTTAAATGCCTTAGTCTGAGGAATTGTTGTTGCTTCCTCTTAAGAATCTCGTTGGCTAATTTAACTGGGAAAATCTCTCGTTCTCGTTGCCAAGAGGCTCCCTTTCGAGATTTGATTTGAATTATTCTAAACGAATAGGGCCACGTTCATATAGCAAAACTCATTTGATTTTACTTTGGTCAGATACAATTCAGCCAAGTCATAAGAAGGTGACAAACTTCCACTTCTTGAAACCTTTAATACGGATATAAAACCTTTATTCTTGAGCAACGAGTTGGGCACACAGCACATGTACCCTTGAGTAGTTCGGAAGCCATCATTAACAAAGTAGGAGGTGCTTAAAGAAAATCCATTTTTATTTTTAAATATGTCAATGGTTTATCTTTCTTACCAGTGCAATGACATAAAAAGGATGTTGGAGAAGATGAATTATACAGTATTAAACAATATTAAATAAAAAAGTTAAAACGTATGTTATGTTGTTATTGCTGATTAATATAGTAAACATGCACGTATTAGTTATCTGAAAAGGATGTGATAAATAGTGGTAGCACATTAATGTCTTGGGGAAACTATCAAATTTGTGCTATTATTGACGTGATTGAAGGGCATGCTTGCTTAAAATGCAGCTCTATGGAACACCATCTAGGCTGATCAAGGAAATTTGGGTCGTTGGATTTCCAAGATGAAAGTTTAAAATCTAGAAAATTACTGATTTTCAAAGTAATTAATTACAAAATACGATTTTAATTTATTATTAGTTCAGTACGTCAAGACCGACCGGTGAACATGTTTTATTCCAATTTCTAGAATTCGAGAAATTATTCTTACTACAATAAATTGACATCAAACACACTATATAACTACTAGTAAAGACATAAGGGACACACACACCTACAAAAATGGAAGATTGAAGTTAGAGAAATATCGGACAGATAATATAATTGGGGATAGGACTTTTTAAGTAATAGCTTCTCTCATCGTTCTCACAATCAATCATATCTCAATACACAATTGAGTTGTGCATAGGTGAATAAATGAATTGGGGGTTAGGATTATTTGAGGCTGCTGAAATTAGGGACGAATTATTGGGGTTTAAAGAAGTTTAGGGGATCATGGAAGTCGTGTCTCACATATGATAATTTTGATGAGTTGGATGATTTGACTGAATTGTAATTTTTAACAATCGTAACTTGTAATGTAGGATTTTCATGAGACACGTCAACAACGAGGGGAATGGAATATTATGAATGATGAATGGAGTACAACGACTCAAAGATGAGTAACTATTGGGAAACATTTTGAAATTTGATGAGTAAATCATGACCATTATATTAAGTTGGGTAAGTAATGAAATATTTTACATGAATAGTTTGGTGAAGTTGTAATTTTTTTAACAACCATAACTTGTCATATGAAATTGTTTGAGCATCAACAGGAACGGAATTTGACGAATGATGAATGGAGTACAAACTTGCAAAGTTCGGTGAACATTGTGAAATACTTTGAAGTTTAGTAACAATGATTATAGTATAAGTTGGGTGACTAACAAATATTTTACTCTCATGCTCTCTCTCTCTAATTTTCATAACATAGACGGTTTGTCAAAGAGAGAGAGAGAGAGAGAGAGAGAGAGAGAGAGAAATATAGATAGACAGCCTTTGTTGAATCTTCATGTTCTCCTTTCTTTCTTATTTTGTAGTGAATCTGTGTAAGATATCGTTTCTATCAACTATTGTGAACAACAAGATTGCAAAGTTTGTGCAATTTGAGTTGTAAAGGTTCGTTTGGTGTGATTAGTCTTGGAAGCTGTTAATCTTGGTGACAACAAGTTGAGAGTTGCCAGATTTAACCGCTGGCCTTCGAGCAAACACCGTTTGTGTTCTTGCAGTGCTTGTTTGTTATCAGGAGAGCTCATCAATAGTTCAATACCATAATGATACAGCCATAAACAAGATACAGAGCAAGAAACTTGAAAAAATAAAAAATAAAAAATTAGAAAAAATGAAAAACAAACAAAACCCAGAATTCGAAACTCGATTCATGGAATTATAATCCATCATTCTTAAGATTCTTTATTCAAAAAGTCCTCTAAATCATTCTGTTTGAACCAAAAACAAGTAAACATTGATTAAAAAAAAAAAAAACCTTAATGGATCAATAATCTAAAACTAAGCCAAAAAAAATAAATAAATAAATCTATTTTATACGTAAATAATTTTGCTGATCCATCTACCCAGCAGCATTCAAGACCTTGCCAATCTCGAAAGAGACAAAAGCATCCACACAAGCATACTGCACTTGATCATGCGTCAACTGTGGGTTATCCCACCAACTCATAGTCACCATTCTTGGCTTCTCAAAATCTTTCCCAAGCACAAATCTGGCCAAATCCTTCAGCCCAATATTCCACGACTCACTTATATGATAAGTATCCACCGCCAGCTTACTCAAATCCACGGCATTCACATTGTACCCAAACCCATAGTTTTTCCTAAGTTTTTCCAAGTCGGATGCAATACCAACGCCCACAAAAGTGTGGTCCTGGTTGGAGAGGAACTCAACGAGATGGTGTGGAATATAAGAGGAGTAGATGAGTTGGTAGATGAGACAGCGGCGATCCACACAGAGCTGGAGGGTGGCAACTGGATTCTGAATGCGGTTGATGCTGGGTCTCCACTCTACGTCGAGACCGACGATCAGGTGGCGACGGTGGTTGTTGAGGTACTGGGTTTCGGACAGCCACTGTGACACCATGGTGGGGTCGTAAGTTACTAGAGTGTGGATGACGTCTCCGAAGAAGTTAACGTCGTACAGTTTGTGGGTGTTTTGTCGTATCTGGTACTCTTCAATGGTAATCGCCATTGCTCCGCCTCTGTGCCTTCTTTGAGATGATTCATTAGATATAGAGAGAGAGGGAGAGAGCTTTATGAAAGGCAATAGTATATTATTATTATTACAATCTTTTTTGTTTTAGAATTACTTTTAGAAACTCATAGCTCATTATAAAGGCAATCCTAAGGTGACTAATCTCTTGTTTTAAAAGAATTATTGCGTATACTCCTAAATAGATTGAGCTTTTACAAATTTCAATTTTTATTATTTATTTTGTTTTATTATTATTATTTTTTTGAGAGCATGATAATAGAAAAATTATAAAACTCTTCAAATTTTAACTTCATTGAATAGAGTCAGAAGGGAGGATCGATGGTGGGATAGTTAAACAAATAACAATGGATAATTATATTATAAATTTTTTTAGAAGGATTTTAAAAATAATTGACTAAGTATTTTAATGCCTTAGGTAGAATGAATCTTTGATTTTCCTTTTTAAAGATTGGCGTCCATACATAGAATGAGCTCTCTTTTGAATCTACATGGGATTAACTCAGATAAATTACAAATAAATAATTAATTGAAATTTATTTGTATGTTTTTGAAAATTTTAGAAGTATAATTGCAATCTGTTCTTTATTTTTTCTTTAGTTTTGTTATAGTTAAATAGGAGGATATATTTGTTATTTCACTGCTTTTAATTGAGAAAATTGATAAAAATTATGGTTTCCATAATGAAATGTAAAAATGAGGGTGAAAATGTCAAAAAATGAAAGTTAGAGACATTTTGCACATAATATTGAAAAGTATGAACGTTTTGTACTAATTATCCTTTTAATAATTTATTTGGACTTATTTGTATATTTTTAAAAAGTTTGGGAGTGTGATTACAATTTATTCTTTAATTTTTCTTCCTTTTTTGTTTTATTTAAATAGAAGAGTACGTTTGTTGTTTTATTTTTTTATTAAGAAATTGAATAAAAATGATAATTTTCACAATGAAATGTGAAAATAGGGTGAAAATGTCAAAAAAAAATGGAATGTATGAACGTTTTGTATAATAACATTAAAAGGTAAAGACGTTTTGTGCTAATTACCCAAAAAAAATAGTATTTTTTGTAAAACTATGAGATAATTGTTGATGTCCATTTGATTTTATCTGAATACTTAGATAAGTCATATTTCACTTTGTATGAGGTTATTCTATTTTGATTTTAACTCTCAATTTAAACCCTACAAATATGAGACATTGATTCTCAATAAAATATACGCTTGAATTTTGACTTTCTCTATTTTTTCTCTTATATTTCTATCTTGTTTCTTTAGTTTTATAACACCAATACGATAACTCATAATTCAATAATTATTTTCTTAAAACAAAAATAAGAACAAAAAAAAAATCATTGAATCATTTTTTTCTAACTACTCGTTCCAGCTCCAAGATTATTTTCCTAGGTGCCTAGTCCCAAAGTATACAATGATTCAAACATATGAGTCGTTCCTTACACTTTCATCCCTCATTACAATTTATAAAATGTTTGGTTTCTGACTCAAATTAGGGTGGATTTTCTTGGAAATAAATTGTTTCCTTATTTTCATGTGGAAAAATTTGTTTCCTTATATTTCACGTGATTTTTATGAAAATATATTATTTCTTTACTCCACATTATTTCCATCTTTATGTTATGTCATATACCTATAAAAAAAATGGTATTTTCTTTCAGTTTTGTTCAAGCAAGAATTGATGAATTCTCTTATTTCTTTCCATATTATCAATTAATAAAATGTCGTGCTTTTGCGATTAACTTTCTTTATTAACTTCTTTACTTTTAAATCATGTTTTTCATTGCGATCTTCATATTTCATATCGCGTTATTAATTTCATTCACTATAATCCGGTCCAACATAAAATGCCATATATTTAATTGATTGATATTAGCTACTGCATGCAGTCAACAGAATTCTTTCCAAAAACTTTATTTATCTACTCTCTTAAATTTATTATTATTATAATCAAATGTGTAAATGACAGTTTATTCAATTTGCAAGTGATTGCAGTTAACATTTGGCTATACTAAATCTCACATACGTAATGATTTCGCTGCTATACGTAACGTCAAAAGTATACTTGTGCTTTTCAATTGATTATTATAATGTGAAATTATCGTACCGTACAATATTAATTCAATAGTTAGTTCTATGTATGTTGCCTTTATTTATTGATTTAGAATAAGATATATTATTGATACGTTGCTCTTGAAGAAGTACAACGTTATACCATTATAAAAGAATATTACAAGCTCATTATAATTTCATATTTTAGGGAAAAAAAATTTACATATTGCTCCAGAAGAATCATACTTTTATATTAAATTAATATTCTTTAATAAAACACAAATATTCAATTATGTTTGTGCTCTTGAAGAACGATAACTAAAAATTATATTTATTCTAAAGGAATATGGTGTTGATGTTGTCAAGGAAATATAATCCACGTTATATCAATATTTTAGAAAGATTTTGCTTTCTAAAGTCAAAACTACGCTATGTGTGAGAATAAAATTTTACTATTGATAGAATATATTCTCTATTAAATTAAAGAGGACATACTAACTTTCCAAAATGTGTGTCATGAGAAAATTGCAAATGTCGAACATTGTATTGAACCAAAAGTTTAATTACTAATTCAAATAGAATTCAATGAAGAACCATAAGTTTTTTTAATCCAATGAATTCTATATGAATTTTTCTTTTCTTTATAGAAAATTGATTATTGATCATCGCTAGTTAACGTTAGAATTATATCCTTATGTTTCTAAAAATCAATTAGGGTAACATATGGGGTCTCATCATCCTTCATGTCGACCATCTTAATATTATTTGTGGATAATAAATATTATTTCAAGTAGTTGAAATATTGAAAGTAGAGATCTATTATTAAGTTATGTCATTATGAAAAAGAAATTGAATCGAAAAGAAAAAGTTATTGATAATACTTTTGTACGTAATGTACTATTTCATATTATGAATAGCAATGAATTGAAATAAATTCGTCAAAACATATCGATCAAATAAATGATTGGTCAAATTAAAAGACACAATTCAAGCAAAACTGAATTTATTAAAGAAATCTGAAGTTTTTGAACCTACAGTTCGAACACTTAAAGATGTATACTTGTGCTAAAATGTAAATAAGAAAAATAAAGTCGTAACATACAATGCACAACTCTCAAAATAATAAATTTTGCAAGGATCGTGGTGGATACAATCACAATTCTATATCTTGTTATCAGACAATGCATGAAATTTGAAATGTGGTTATAGCCAACCCATTTAGTACAACTATTAATGTTATACTTAAAGGATTTAATATGTATGAAGTCTATAATTCAAGTGATATTATCACCTGAAGAGTAAATACATGTTGTACTCTTTTTCTCTTGATCAATATTTAGTCCCATTGACATTTTCTGAGAATGTTTTGAATGGGGCAACTTTTGCAATGTACTAAAAAAATGAAAAATTATTTTTTGTTCATTAAAATTTTTCACAGGATTTTTCCTAGCTAAATTTTAATAAGGGTGGTAATTGCGCCAAGCGTCTCGTCGAGGCTCGGCCCGTGGGCTACTTGGACTAGCCCAAGCACTAGCCGATCTCGAAGTTGAAACGACCAGCAAAATCCAATGAGCATCTCATAGGCTTGTAAACGGTCACTATTTAGGATAAGTGAATGTTGCCAATGGCCACTTCTCTTTTGACCCCAACAGTCACAAATTTTTTTTGTTTTTTTTTTTTTTTTCAAACTCTATAAATGCTTTCCATTTCAACCCTTTTTTGCACAAATTCTCTATAATCTATTTTCTACATTTTACAATCTAAATTACTCAGTTTCAATCCAATTCCTTATTACATTATTCAACCACCAATCTAATTAATTCATCTATAGCATTTCTCACTTATTATATTTTCTTATATCATCTCAACTTTATATTTATCTATTATATTCTATACTTCTATTTCTTATTTATACATTCCAATTCATTTTATACAAATGGATTCCAATACTTATGTTGAGGATTTGTTTGGTTGTAACTCACCATTGACACCACAATTTCAATTTCATAAACATTTTTTTGGCCTCGTTAACATCTCAATTCCCGAAGATTTGGACGTTGATGATATGCATGGGAGTAATTATGCAATTAATTTGAACGATACTGATAAAAAAGCAAAAAAATTTAAAGTATCCAATACAAGATGAAAGCGAAAATTTAAAAAAACTGCAAAGTGTTAGGAGCTTTTCAAATTGGTTTCCATGGTAGTACAGTCGATTGAGTCCAAAGAATTTAAAGCAATTTGCAAATAGTGCCAAACAAAATTGGCATAGAAAAGGAAATCAAAGCTACCCACCTCAACCGTCACTACAAGAAATATTTGGCCAAATATAGAGCTTGTTTGGTATAGCGATTAATCCAATTAAAATCAATTTTTTGACCGTTATTTCACTATTTCAACCGTCATTTTTGAATTTTTCTCTCACATGTAGGACCACTTTATCTCTAACGGTCAAAATCAATTATCAAAATCTCTGCTAAACAAGCACATAGACTTATTGGTCAACTGTCAATAAAACTTTAATTTGGTATTCCTTCTCTCGGTACTAATTCTATTATACGAAGCAAATGGAAATATTCAGAAGGAAATTGCCGTGAAGGAAAATTTATTGCTGGTGTGGAGTTGTCGCTTAGCATAGTGGGTCATAAACATTTTCACAAAGTTCGTGTAAGAATATCTTCAATCAAGATACACTGGGATAAGTAGAAACACTCTTCCTTCCAAGTGCATTAATTATTTCATTAAGCACAAAAAACAGTTAATATATGATTTACAAAAACATAGTGATGTTGTATCATTTACATCTGATACATGGGAAAGAATTAAAAAAATGTTATATAGTTAATTGCTCAATAATTAGACCCGCTTTGGATAACGAGTAAAAGAATAATTGCTTTTAATAAATTGAGTTTCATCACTATGCTAATAATATATTTA